AACTGGGGGGAGGGGAGAGAAAATAGTGCAACAATGAATGAATGGAAACCAAAAATCTCTGTAAATGTTCATTAAAATTAATAAAATTTAATGAAAAAGAAAAGATCTGAACCCTGTCCTATTCTGTGCCATATTCACACTTCCTAACACACTAATGCGCACTGCAGCAGTCATCATGTCAATCCACCTGGTTGAGGGTCTTCCTCTCCCTCCCCGACCCTCCACCCTTCCCAGCATCATGTCCTTCTTTAAGGAACAGCCCCTCCTAGCAACACGCCCAAAGTATGTGAGGCAAAGCCTCATCATTCTTTCCTCAAAAGAGCACTCTGGCTACATCCTCTTCAAGACATAAATACTGCATACTCTCTCTTATATGAGATATGCAAGTATATAGAAAGCAAAGCAAATATTATTAGTGGAATAATTTTGTACAGAAAATGAGAATGTTCAGGTAATTTGAAGAATACAATTCATATTGCTGAATACGTGGAGACCTTACTGAATTGCAGAATGTTTCCTTGTGAATATTTTCACCATAGTAACACGGGGATGTGGGGCACTGTCCTGGCTGAAAAGTCAAGCTCTGCCCCAGATGCTAGAAACCAAATCAAGAGCCCGTTCTCTATTGACAGACTGCTGGAAGGGAAGGGGACTCACATCATAGGTGACCTCCTCCACCTGGTCCTTCTCCATGAGGAACACTTTGGAGACCTGTTCACACGGGCCCTGGAGGATCCGGGCAATCAGAGGGTAGTCTGTGTTCTTCAGCTTCTGTTTCTCTGAAAGCACACACAGCCGGGAAGCCCTGAGCTCGCCCCCAGGTCTTCCTCACCTTCAGTAACGGTCAGTTCAAGGGCCTGGATGGTCCAGGCAGCCATCAAAGTAAGAGACTGATTTCTAAATAAGTGTTCAATCAGTGCTGCTAAAAGTCACATCTCCCCCCACAATACATTACCATATCTCCAGCCCCTCAAGAAATGCCGCTTTGGAGGAACAGTTTTATGATATTATCCTTTATTAACACAATTAATTATGTCTAATTAACCCGTATTGTATATTGCTTTCGTCTATATATTAGCTTCCCCTTCATTCCCATGCCTGTTAAGCCTCCAAAACTGATTTTGTTGGTAAACCTCTCCTTACCTTTTCCCCCATTCATGCACACTGTATTCTACACAATCATATATATTGTGTTTTATGTAATTATTTATGTTTGATCAATGTATTTTAGCACCCTGTCTCATCAAGTCCCGCTGCACTATGTAGAGGAATTGTCTTTATCTGTCTGTCAAGAAAACTCAGCTCCTTTTGAAAATAGTCAGGTTTAGGGGTATGATTATGGGAACCTCTAGTAAACACGTCCAACAATGTGACCAGCCTGAGAGGCAAACAAGATTTAGAAGTTTACAAAACCCAAACAACAAGGCAATGAGGTGGAGGGAATTTTTTTTTAACTTGCTATTTTGAGTTAATGAAGAGTTTCAAAGTACACTGTGTTCCTCAGACTCACCACCACTGGTGTGGACGACGTACAAGGCAAACTCCTCCGGCGAATTCTCGATCTGAATCGGGAGCCAAAGATACACTTATACACTTTCAAGACTATATACAAGCATAAGTATACTAACTTCTTTAATGTAAAACAGATTTTAATCTCTGCGCAGGAGGAGGGCTACTTATTTAACACCCTCAGAAATGAGGAGACGGCACAGGCAGATAACTTTATAACAGACAATGGCTCACATTTGTTATAAACTCCCAGGCTTGGGTCTCACATACTTTCTGTTCACTCATTCATGTGATACAACTTCTTAAGTGACAAAGCAGAAAAGCAAAGGAAGGTTCTTGCTCAACTCATTCAAATAACAGGTGATGAAGTAGGGATTCGAACCCAGGCAGTCTGACTGAGAGCCTATGCTCTATGTGTTCAGACCACTAGGCTAAACACAGATGTCCACTGTTGTTGTTGATTGTTGTCAGTTGAGCATGATTCATATCGACCCTATGAACAAAAGACCTGAAGCCTTTCTATAACTATCGACATTTCTCAAAGTTGACAGTTTCCAGAGGTAGGTTGTTTAGGAAGTAGATGCCACTCCTGCTTCCAAAGATGCCCATTCAAAACAGCTCTGGTGGCCTAGAGGTAAGGAGGTGCACTGCCATCCCAAAGATAGGCAGTTCAAATCTACAAACTGCTTTGTGAGAGAAAGATAGCAATCTCCTCCCGTACAATTTACCGCCTCTAAAAACCCACTGGAGGACCACCCATGAGTCGGTTCTGGGTCAATGGAACACAACAACAAACCATGTGGAAGGAGGTTGTCCATTTTTCTTCCAAGGTGCCACTGGTGGATCCGAACCAGCAGAGTGGTGTGGATTTGGGGTTAGTAGTGCATCTCCCCACAACCTATGCTACTAGAGCTCTCTAGAACGTTCCAGAAGCCCTGCTAACCCAGGTTCCCCAGGCTCATGCTCAGCCTCAGCTGCAGGTCTGGGTACCCAGCCTTGAGTGCTGATACACCCTCTGCCAGGGCCCCCTGCGCCACACTCTGTGCAGCCTGGCCCACTACCCCTGGGGCCCCTGAGGCCCAGAGTGACTGTGGGTGGCCGACAGCTCTGCACACTTGCCTTGAACTTGTTGAGCAGCAGCTTCAGGACCTGCGGGGTTGTCATGGTGCTGTTGATGCGGACGTTGGTGACAGAGCCGTAGGCGGGTGTGAACACGGATGTCTGTCAACAAAGAGATCCAGCTCAGGTGGGAGTGGGGACAAGGAGGGGGGGCCAAAAGCCAGGACGTTCGTGCCCTGAGTCTGGCCGCTCACTCAGCAGTGCCTGGAAAATGGGGTAAGAGGCTCAGCACCAAAGGGGCTCGAAATGTGCTTCTGGGAGCCCAGTGCTGTTAACACCTTGACTAACATCAGATGTGATTCTGTCGTCTTTGAGCCACCCATCCACACACCCCAAGACTGCACAGCACCCAGCATCCTGCCAGGGGCCCATTCAGCCCGGAGGCATCAGCTGCCCAGGAAGTGGTCTCCCCTCTGCTCCACCTTATGGTTGTAGAAATGGCCATTGATGGAGAAGCGGTGGCGTCTGATGCGGCGCTGGTCGCTGGGCGTCCTCACATTGCCACGGCGACGTACCCCAACGTCGCTGCGGGTGCGCATCAGTTGAGGGGTGTCTTCCTGCAGGGGCTTCAGGCCTCTGGCCTCTGAGAGGGAGGAGGAAAAAGCTCTGAGGGCCGGCCTGGGACAGGGCCCCTGGCACGTGGCCCATTCTCTGTGGGCACACCCACAAGCCCACACCTGAGCTGCGCAGATGACACCTCCCACAAGGAAGACTGGAGCACGGTGCCGGGACCAAACTGTTTCCAAACACTGGTTGTTGTTAGGTGCTGTCAAACTGAGTATGACTCACAGCGACCCTATGTACGACAGATCTGAACCCTGGTCTATCCTGTGCTATCCTCACACTTCCTGACACACAAGAGCCCACTGCAGCACTCACCACCTGGTAGAGGGTCTTCCTCTCCTTCACCAACCCTCCACCCTTCCTAGCATCATCCTGGCAACATGCCCACACTTGGCTTTTCCTGGGCAGGCTTCGTCTGCCTACCCAGCAAGCTTTGCAAACAGGCCTCAGAGGCTGCAAGGGGAGGACTGTTGGCCATACGCTCCACATCAGGTGCAATCCTGAGTCTGCGGACATCCCATGAGAAGCTACTCCTGGAGATGTCTGGCTGGAAGCAGGATCAGGGAACTCGATCCAGGAAAGGGGAGTGTCTGTAGGACGCGGAGTCTGCACTTGGTCTTGGGGCCTCTGCTGCTGACAGGAAGGAGGACCTGGTCTTGGGCAGTGGATTCTCTGCTGAGGAGTGCAGTCAGGCCCTGTGGCCATCCAGGTGGGCCGGGTCTGGCCAGCTGGGAGGAAATCTGGGAGATGGGGAAGGGCTACTGACTGCACACCTGGAGCCCCAGACCCACCTCAGCCTGGCTTACCAGCCACCTTTTTCTCCTTGAGCACACCTGAAACATCGAGGCTTTTCAGGATAAAGGGGAGCATGCAGGCTCACGGATACCTGGGACACTCCAGAGGACAGCATTACAGAGACGTCCTCCCCACATGCCACCTCTGTGCAACTCAATCTTCGTCTTGGGACAACTCCAGTGAAGCATCCCCTCCTCCCCCCAGGACAGAGCAATCCTTCACCTGGACATCACTCTAGAGGATGGGCACTGGGTAAGAGGCTCTTGGGAGATTTTTCTGGCCTTTGCTCAGGGAGATCAAAAGTGAGAGGGGTCATCCCAAGGCCCAGAGGGTCAGAGGCTCAGGAGGAGGCTCAGCTCTCCATCCAGCATGTGTGGGAAGAGCGTTTCAAGGGCCGAACTTCAGGGGCCTAGGAAACCCACAGAGCCCTCCACGATGGCTGAAGTCTGCACTCAGGAGTATTCCAGCAGGCCAGAGGCCACCCTGTCTCACATCTTTCATCCCCACAAAGTTCTAACACTTGGAGCAATCCTCTTCCTCCACTACTTTTCCAGCTGCGAGACTCAGTAGCCTGAGAACAGCTGAAGAGTAGAAGGAGAAGACTGTGGTGTAGGGAGAGATGGGCCAGGGCAAAGAAGAGCAGACAAGCCCCTCCACACACAAGCTGGGACGGCCTCCTTCTGTCTGCCCAGGAGATATGACTCCCAGGCCAGCAGGAATTGATCCTGGGTGATGGTGTGGGTGAGGAAAAGGAAGAAGCAGTGGGTAGACAGATGGGTGGAAACAAAGCACACCTGGGCAGACGGTGTTCCTCACCCACCAGCCCCTCACATGACCTACAGCATCCACTCGTCAACATGAGGTCAACTTTTGCTCTGACCCTACCCTCTCATCAAAGAAACATTCTATAAAACAGTGTTTTCCAATTACAAAACGGGCAAAAGACATGGAAAGAATTTTCACGGAGGAAGATATTTGGATAGCCAACAGACACATGAAGAAACGCTCAAAATCACTGGCAATAAGAAAGATAAAAATCAAAATCACAATGAGATGTCATCTCATTCCAGTAGCGGTGGCAAAGTTTAACAGGACAGCAAGTAATAAATGTTGGAGAGGATGTGGAGAGATAGGAGCTCTTATACATTGCTGGTGGGATTGTAAAATGGCACACCACTCTGGTGTACCACTCTGGAAGACAGTTTGGTGCTTCCTCAGAAAGTTGAACACAGAAATTTCACATGACCCAGCTATTCCACTGCTTGGAATACACTCCAAAAAAATGAAATCTGCGGCACAAATAGAGACTTTTACATCAATGTTCAAAGCAGCATTATTTACCATCGCAAGAACATGGAAACAACTTAAATGGCCAACCACACTCGAACGGATTGAGAAATTATGGTACATTCACATGACGGAATACTATGACACAGTATACATAGTAGGAGGAGAAATGATTTTGTAAATCACTTCCTAACTTGGGAGGGTCTGGAGAGCATTAAGCTAAGTGAACTAACTCAGACCCATAAGGACAAATACTGTATAAGATCATTATTGTCAAACTAGATAACTAGTAAAATATGTATGAGGGGGGAGTAGAGGATGAGTGGTGGGGGGTAATAACAGGGTCACACAATTTGATGGGTGGAGGGAGGTGTATGTTAAGGGGAAAAGATTTGGTGTGAAAAATAATGTATATGAACTTTGTAAGTAAACAAGTATAAGATAATAATAAAACCCCCCATAGTGTTTGCCAAGGGAAACGCTATAATGCATGTTGTTTTTGTTACTGTGTGCCTCCAGAGGGTTTTCAGAGGCTGTGAATCACACAGGAGGAGACGACCCATCTGTCTCCTGAGAACACATGCCTGTGGTTGGCAGTGCAACTCCTTACCACTAGGCCATGAGAGAGAGTTCCTATCGTAAGGAGAGAATAAGAAGGTTAAGAACACAGCCTTCAGAGCCGGGCTCCCGGGTCGAATCCAGCTCCATCACTGTCATGTACACTTGCCTCTCTGTGCCTCGAATGCTCATTTATGAAATGGAAATAATTATAGCACCCACTTCATAGGATTTTTATGTGGATTTACAGAGGCTTTGATTTCTCATTCTGGTGAGAATTAGGGTGCAATTTTTCCTGGTCATTGGCTATGACTTGATTGTATTCGGCCTCCTATTTAAAAAGGCATTTGGACTCTCAGGCCTGCAGCCCTTGGGCCTAATTTTAATTGTTTTTGGTCAAACATTTTTCCAAGTAGGATAGCTCTGGTCTGTCCATTTGCTGTACAGAGGTACCTAGCGTTGTTGTGATGCTAAATACTGTGACTGATGTGTCAAATGTGATAATGGTTACCCATGGTGGACAGTGTTTGGCGGAGCTCCCCGATTAAAACAAGCTTAGAAGCAGGAGTAGCATCCACTTCCGAAATAGCTTGCCTCTGGAAACTCTATTGAACGTGGAGGAATGATGAAAGTTATACAGTGTTCAAGTCTTTCATTCATTGGGTCACTGTAAGTCGTCTACGACTTGCCAGCACTTAACAACAACAACAACAACACATGGAAAAGTTTAGAACAACAGTGCCTGGCATGGGTCAGCCCCACACAGGGGTCACTACTATTAGAATGAATTCCAGAGAGCAAGCAGGTGCTACTCCTCAAACCAACAGACTGACGCAAATGATGTGAAATGGCACATGTCCCTGGCCATCAAATGCAGCCCTCTCTACCACAGCAGAGACTAGAAGTGACTTAACTGTCCATCAACAGGAAAAGATTAAATTAATTAGGGTTTCCATACAATGAGGACATTCTTATTGTTACCAGAGGTGGGAAGGGCTGGGAGAGAGGAAAATCAATAAATGGATTAAGTGAGGTTAAGGAAATGCAATATACAATATGAGATAGATCAGATCTCATGATTAATTATATCAATCAATGGTAATGAATGCTACAAAACAAAATTTGTATGAATGACTGTATGAAAAGGACAGGATTTGCAAATGTTCATGCCAATAAAACACTTATTCAAAGAATGAGGACATTTGTTAGGGATTTAAGTGGGATGACCTCCTAGTTAAACTAGAAATAAAAAGTAGTGTGTAGGTGGAAATTGATGTGCACAAATGTTTTATGTATATTTTTATTGCAATTTAGAAAACTATGATTTGTAAAGTGCTACCACTTGGGTAGACACACATAATGACACATCAATTAGTCATAAAAAGATAGGGAACCCTGGTACATGCTACTACATAGGTGAACCTTGAAAGCATTATGCTGAGTGAAACAAGTTAGATAAAAAAGGACAGACATTGTCTGATGCTACTGTTATGAAATATTTAAAATAGGCAAATTCATAGATAAAATTTCTTTAGTGGCTACAGTTTACTTGAAGGAGGGGGAAATGAAGAGTTAGTGTTCAATGGTTTCTGAAGTTCTGAATTTCTGTAGTGGGTGATATAAACTTTGGAAATGGTTTGCGGTCCTGGATACCCAATATGCATAACATTAATGTCACCAAATTACCTTAAAAATGGCAAAACTTTTGTTTATGGATTTAATACAATAATTTTCAGTGTATCATTTTTAGAAAAAGAGAAGAAATGACAGCTATCAAGTTGTTCATGTTCTATCAAACACAGCAACAAAGACACAGACAACAGAAGATCAGTCAGACAGCTGAGACCTTGTGAAAAAGAAATATGTAATGTTCACCAAAAGACTGTCAGAAAAGTGAAAAAAGAACCTACAGACTAAGAAAATAAACATCTTTGGCAGCAACGTATCTGAGCAGAGTAAAATATATAGAAAGCTTCAAATTTCAACAACAAAAAGACAAACCAATTTAAAAAAAAGAAGGCAAAGGACCTGGACCACTAAACAAGATGTTCAGGCAACTAATTAATACACCAAAAGATACTTTCAATCATTAGCATTAAAATTAATTAAATCCGTTGTCAATGAGTCAATGCCAAGTCACTGTAACACTTGTTGTTACGTGCCACCGAGTCGCTTGTGACTCACAGTGACCCTATGTACAACAGCCCTAAACTCTGCTCTGTCCTGTGCCAATCTCACCGTCTCCGATACACCCGTCCCGATTACCCCAGTCACTGAATCAATCCACCTCATAGAGGGCCTTCCCCTCCTGCGCTGTCCCTCCACCCTCCCAAGCATGATGTCCCTCTCCAAGGACCGGTCTCTCCTCACAACATGTCCAAAGTATGTTAGACGGAGCCTCAGAATCCTTGCCTCCAAGGAGTCGCCTGGTTTAACCCTCTCTAGCATGAATCTGTTTGTTTTCTTAGCAGTCCATGGTGGCCTCAACAGATGCAAAAAACCTGTGAGACACCATTTCATCTTTGCAAAAATGGCACTGATCAAAAATATAGAAAAGGAGAAATGCTAGCCAGGTTGTGGACAGTTTGGAACTCTTACACACGGCTAGTGAGATTACAAAATGGTACAACCCAAAACAAAAGCACAGCCACTATGGAAGAGTATGGCACTTCCTTAGAAAGTGGGAATTATAAGTACTGTATGATCCAGCTATCACACACACACACACACACACACACACACACACACACGGGGGTGGGAGGAAGAGAGAGAGTTTGATTAAGATCAGTGGTACAAATCAGTGCACTGAGTGACACCATTTGTGACGCTTGTTACACGTAGAAGAAAAAAGAAGGAAATAATATACATGCTCATCACCGGCTGAATGAATAAATAAAGAGTGGTGCATATATAAAATGGAATACTTGTTGTTATGTATCGAGTCAGAAACAACACATAGCCAACCCTCCAGCAGGTTTTTATAGGCAGTAAATCTCATGGTAGGACACTGCTTATCTTTCTCCTGTAGAGCAGCTGGTGGATTTTAACTGCATGCCTTTGAGCTGGTAGTAAAGCTCCTTACCATTAGGCCACCAGAGCAGTGTGGAATACTACACAACAATAAAGAATAATGATGAGTCCACGGTAACCTCATAACAAGGATGAATGTGGAAAACATTTTACTAAGTAAGTAAACTGCAAAAGGATAAGTATTATCTGATCTCATCTCCATAAAAGGTCAAGAGGAGGTGGTAGACTAGATGTGGCCCAACTACCACTAAAGCCTGCTCTGACAAAAAGCCCTACACAGAATAAGAGAAAAATGAACAATCTTGAATTCCTAGAAAAAGTCAGATGTATTGGAATGACAAAAACTAGGGGAACCTCTGACGCTAAAAGCCCTTTCAACTAGGAATTAAAAGCATTCTGAGAGGTCACCCTCCAGCCAAATGGTAGAATGACTCATAAAATAAATATTATCACCCATAAGTACACCTTCCAGTCAAATAATAGAACTGCTTATAAGACAAGTGTGCTCCTTTAAAGAACCAACTATAACAGACCAAATGATTAACATTGATCCTAAAGCAAAAATGAGACTATAGGGAAGACAGGGAAGCTAGATTAACATAAACAGAACAAACAGAATAGAAATAATGAGACTGCTGATTATTGTAAATAATCAACATTGTGAAAAATGTAACCAATGTCACAGAACAGTCTATATAAAAAATGTTAAATGAGAACTCATCTATATAAGCTTTCCTCTAAAACACAGTAAAACAAAATACTATTTATTTTAAAAAAAATACATTGGCATAGGGAGCTCTGGTGGCCTAGTGGCAAGAAGCTGTGCTGCAATCCCAAAGGCGCGCAGTTCTAATCCACCAGATGCTCTGCTGGAGAAGGAGCAGCAACCTCCTCTGGTGCCAGTCAGATCTGATTCAACAGCACACAGTAAGTAATAATAATAATTAAAAAATGGTTTTAAAAAAATTACATTGGCTTGTGCTTTCATGATCTCAGGATACTATCTTGGGATAAAGGCACTTGAGGGCCTCTGAAGACAGAAAAGAATTCCAACAGTAGATGGATGAGGTGGCACTGAACTTACTCCTTGTAACATTTTTTGAATCTTGAACTGTATGATTCTCATGTTTTCAAAGATATAATATGCAATACTTAACACATTTGCCCTGACACAGCCCCAAACCCGGTGTTCCTCCCCTGGGCGTCTACCTGTGGGGCTCGGTGGCTGGTCACTCTCAGTAGGCGCATCTGCATCGGAGATCTGGATGTTGGGCATGGTGAGGGGCTTCAGGATGGTGCTGGGGGCAGAAAACAAGAGGGAGGCCAGCTCAGCCCCTGTGGAGACAGAGCTGCCCCTCCCGCCAACAGACATGGCCAGGAAGCAGCCCACGTCAAGTGATGAAGGATGCAGGGGGGGCAGCTGAGGGGAGCATCCCAGCAGGCCGGGCAGAGCCAGGGGGCACCAGAGCCAGAAGAGACTCTTTTCCAGCATCTGTGACAACACAAGCATCCAATTCATCAATTCCAGTATGAAGAGCTCCAGAGAACGAAACTCATGTGATGCTTGTGCTGTCTTTCTGAGAATGTATGTGTCCCATGGTTTAGTCAAAAATGCTGATAACAGCCTTTTGTTTCTGGAGATGGGATCCATTTCTTCTGGAGGAAAATGTAGAAAGTACTTCTGGCATCTAGCCAAAAAGGGGAAAGTAACGGGCTGATTGCTACGAGGATCAGGTAGCCTCGGAAAGGATGCTGCTGACAACGTCCTCAGAGCTTCGGGGCAGCATCCTCAGCCAGGCAGAGAATGGACCACAAGGAGGCAGTCTGAGTTGAAACACGAGAATACCTCCTCAAAGCTAAAGAGAATAATGGAAGAAACGCAGAGAAGCATCCCCAAAGTCAACAGAGGACTTGACCAGATAAGGAAACACTATTTGATCAATTGAGCTGCACTGCCAACCCTAAAATAGGCAGTTTGAAGTGCATCGCGGGCCCAACAGGAGAAAAATGAGCAATCCTCTCCCCTGCAACTTCAGCCTCTCAAAGTCAGCTGGGGGATCTGGTATGCGTCCGTCCCAGCTACACAGCAATGAACAACAAATGGTGAGAAGCAGCCATGGGGACTTGAACTGCCTGAGTTTGGGTTGGCAATGAACTCCTTTCTCACTGGGCCACGAGAGTTCCCTAACCTCTACCAGCTGCTTCAAGGGAAAAAGATGGACAACCCCCATCTTGTTGATTTATAGCCTCTGAAAACCTGCCAAGGGTCAGCTCAGAGTTGGTTCAGTCTCAGTGACGATGAGCTTGAGGTCTTTTGAGTATAGTGAGAAGGAAAGTTAAACAACTAAGGGCACCTGATCCAAGCTGTGGTATTTTCAATTGTTTCCTATGTACATCTGAATATTGGACAACAAATAAAGAAGATTGAAGAACAATCGATGCCTTTGAATTGTGGTGTTGGAGAAGTGCTTTGAATGTACCATGAACTTGTCAAAAGAACAAACAGGTCTTGGAGATGTAACAAGGGTGCTCCTTAGAGGCAAGGAGTCTCTAAACTTCATTTCACTATGCCAGGAAGGGTCAATCCTTGGAAAAAGACACCATGCAGGGAAAAGTAAGGAGCAAAAGAGAAGAAGACTCTCGGCAGGACAGACTGGCCCAGTGACTGCAATAATGGGTGTTGGAGATTATAAGGCTGCCTCAGGATAAGGCAGGGCAGGACTGTTGTTCATAGGGCTGCTGTGAGTGAAAGTCGACCCAATGGCATCTAACAACAGTAATGAGGAGCCATCAGTCGCCTGTCAGTCTGCTGTACTGGAGTAACTGAGTGTTGCTGTGATGCTAGAAGATAAGCCACTATTATTTCAAATACCAGCAGGGTCACTCACAGGGAACAGACCTCAGAAGAGCTTCTAGACTAAGACTAGGAAGAAAGTCTTGGCGATCTCATTTTTGGCACTGAAAAGTAACCAGTGATAACCTGACGGATCATAGGAAATACTGTCTAACATGCACTGAGAAGCAACAATGTCAGTCTAGAGACTGAGGTATGTGTGATTCAGACCATGGTCTTCACAATTACTTGCTTTGCATCAGAGAGCTAGACAATGACTAAGGATGACAGAAGAAGAATTAATGCCTTTGAGCTGTGGTGCTGGAAAAGAGTCTTGAACATACCATGGACTGCCAAAAAACCAAAGAAATCTGTCTTGGAAAGGATGAAACCAAGTTTCTCCTTAGAGGCAAGGAGTTTGAAGATCTGTCTCACATACATTGGGCCTGTGACCAAGATGGACTAATCCTTGGAGAAGGACATCATGCTTAGAAGGGTAGAGGGACAGCACAAGAGAGAAAGACCCCTGATGAGATGGACTGATACAGTAACTGGGACAATGAGGGTAAGTGTGTCGGAGTCAGTGAAACTGGCTCGGGATAGGGCAGGCTTCAGAGCTGTTGTACACAGGGTCACTATGAGTCACAGGGCACTCGACGGCATGTAACAACAGCAACAACATGCCACCGAGAGGGATCGTGACTGAGAAGGCAACGATGTTTGAGGCAGCAGAGGACCAACGAGGGCCTGGAGACCCTCTGTGAGATGGCGTGAAGGGCTGAATTGTGACCTCCAAAGACATGTGGTTTAAATCCTCATGTTTATGCCTGTGATCAGGACCCCATCTGGAAGATGTTCATGAGCAAGATTAGTGTAGGCTGTGTTTTGAGTCCATCTCTTACAAGACATATGGAACTGATAAGCAGGGAAGATGGGGAGATAGTAAGACACATAGGAATCACCCAGAAGAAGCTCAAGGAGACAAGGACCATCTTCCAGAGACAAAAAGGAAGTCTATCCTCAGAGCCAGCACCCTGAATTCAGACTTCTAACCTCCTAAAAGGGTACTCTGGGGGCCTGGTGGGTAAGGACTTGTGCTGCCAACCCAAAGGCAGGCAGTTTGAATCCACCAGGAGAAAATGGGCAATTTCCTCCTGTGTGATTCATGGCCTTTGAAAACCTGCTGGAGGGCTAATTCTAAATCAGTGCCAATGAGTAAGTGGAAATCTCCTACACAGTGAGACAACCAATCTCTGTTTGTTAAAGTCACCCCTTTGTGGTTTTTCTGTTACAGCAGCGCTGCAGAGCTAAGACAGATGGACTGGCACAGGGTCACAGGATGGGCTAAGATGTGGCTGACTGTGAGGAGGACACAGGGCCTGGCAACGTAAGAGTTCACCCTATGGCCACGAGATGACAACTCAGAGGAACAGGTGGAACACTGTCCAGAGAGGCCTCCTGCTACCTGGTGGACAGTTTTAAGAAGAGACAATTAAAATAGACCATCTGAAGGAACTTCTTACGGCAGTTGAACTCATAGACATCTGAGCCTTAGGGTTGGACTGGTTGGAACTTCTCAGGACTGGGGAATGTTGGCAGCCATGGAAGCCACTCCCCACGTCTTCATCCAAAATCCTTCTTAACCTAGGTCGATGCTGGTGGCAGCGCTCACTTCACTGAGGCCAGAACCTGAGGTGAAATGATTTCCCATTCCTGAAATTCCTTCAAAGTATCTGGAAGTTTCAAGAGCTGACAAGAACAACTTGAAGCCCCGGGATGAGAGAAGGGTCACTCTTTCTGTTCTGAGTGAAAGGACCCCAGGACAGGGCCCTGAAGAACATGTGGGCAAATGGAACTGGGTGGGGGGGGGAACTCAGCCAGGAATGGAATGTAACCTGGCCTGGGGTTTGGTTCATTTGAAACCAAATACAGTGGGAGTGTAGGAAGCAAGGCCCAAGAAGTGCTAGAGCCAACAAAGGGAGGTGAAACTGAAGAACTGTAACCCCGAGTTCCTGCCCCCGATGGGCTGGGCAAGGATTTTTTTTCTCCTGAAACTGCTTTGGACACAACTCAGATCAGCTCCGGGGCTTGGCCAGACTGCAGGCTCCTCTCCACATGAGAGAAAGAGATTTGGCTGTGGAATCGAACAAAACGTTCCACGGCGCCAAGAGGGAAGGTTTGGTTCTCATTTAAAATTGCAAAAACATCCCTGTGGTTTTGGTCACATGGCCGGCTCCCTCCGCCCAGGTCCTGGCCTGAGCACAAGTCGGCCTCAGCATGTTTCAGGCTGGAATGAGGCCCAGCACTGAGGTCCCAGGGAGACAGGACCGGGGTGTGTCTTCTAGACACGCTCATCCACGGCTGTGGAGTCGGTTCCAACACATAGCTGACCCTCCACTGGGTTGCTGATGCTGTAAATCACACGGGCAGAGACTGCCCATCTTTTCCCCAGTGGATTTGAATTGCCAGAGAGGAGTGGTCTTGGGGGTAGCAGTAACTCGCCATGGACTACACCACAAGAGAGCCCTTCTGGACACATTTGTTGTTGTTGTTAGGTGCTGTTGAGTCAAGTACGACTCACAGCAACCATATGAACAACAGACCTAAACCCTGTCCCATCCTGTGCCAACCTCATCATCTCTGACCCACTTCAGTCCACCACTCCAGTAACTGCGCCAATTAATCTCATCCAAGATTTTCTCTTTTCTGCTCACCCTCCACCCAAGTACAGCATTCAGCAGAGAAGTGAGGGGTGACTAGGCTGTCTCCATATTCCAGTGGAGACCTGGAGTGGGTGCTTCAAGGCTAATGAACATTCCCTGATCCAAGAGCAGCCTGAAGAGAGTGGATCCCCCACCCCATAGGCAGCTGGCTCAGAGTCTGATATTCCTTTTCATCTTCCAGGGGCTAAGAGAAGGCCAGCTTTGGTCAGTATGTTCATGTCTTAAACATTTCCTGAATATGGTCACTTTATGAGGAGTCCCATCAGAAGATGCTGAGGCAGTGGGTGTGGTGTCTCACACCCCAAGACTCCAGCATCCTCCAGGAGGGAGGACACGCTTCCCCCAGCTTGGTGTGCGCGCTCTCGCTCTCTCTCTCTCTCAGCACCTTCTCTCCTCACTGTGACTCTCGCTCAGTGACCAGAGATAACCCCCGTCTGGCACTTTGTCCTCATCCCAAGCCAGGTGATGGGAGCAGAGGTCAGGCAGGGGGCTGGTTGGAGGAAGGTGGTGTTAACAGCATGAGAGTACACAGAAATCTCCTCTGTCACCCCCAGCCACCCCCTGCCCCATCGTTCCTCACCCCTGTGCCCCCAGGTTGCAGCCGGAGTGCCAGGAAGAGGAGGAGGGCGGCGGCCGGATGCGTTCATTGTCATCTTGCATCTGTAGGCGGATGGGCCGGCGCAGCCCCCACGAGATGTTCAGCAGCCCCTCCACGATGAACTCATCTTCTTCCTGTCGCAAAGCAACAGGAGCCGTGAGCCCAGGGGAGCCCCGCAGAGGCCACGCCACAGCCAGGGCACCAGGAGCAAACAGGGGTGTCCTCGCTGGACAGCGCTGTGACACACCAGCTCTGAGACTTGCTCTCCTTGTCTCTTTTTCCAAAAGTTGCCATGAAACTCAAATTTACTTTTGCAATTTAGTTCTTGCAATTTTGGTGTTTGTATTAGGTCTATGCAGAAAGCAGAACTTTCTATCTTCCAAAAGAAGCAAACCCAGCTTTGCCAGCAGAAACAAGATTAGACAACTATTTCTCCACTGCTCTCACAATGAAAAGTGATGAGTCCCACATGCTGAAGGCAGATTTAAAGCAGCATTTTCCCCCAAGTTTACTCTGCATGGTACTAGCTCCTTTAGCAGACCAACTGTGACCTTAGAGAAAGAGTGATCTTGAGGAGGGAGATGCTGGGTTAAACAGCATTAATCGGATTTCTTTACCACAGGATTTCCCAGCGCCTTTAACAAGCTAGCGGGTCATATCATAACTCTCTAAGAAGTAGATAAAGCCAGACAATTTATACTCAAAGATTGTTGGTTGCTAAAAGCTACATGTAAAATCTTTCTAAGGCATCCATCCTAGCTTCCATCTCAAACAACAGGGAGCTCTGGTGGCCTAGTGTGTTAAAGAGCTGCACTGTCAATCCAAAGGCAAGGGTTCGAATCTATCAGCAGCTCCGTGGGGAAAAAAGACGGACAATCTACCACTGTTGGAGAATCAGCTATGAGTTGGTCCAACTCCATAGCACATAATAACAACATCCCAAACACGGGGTGCCCAGTGGCACAGTCCATGGTGACAGTGTTAAGCCAGAGGATGCACATTTGTGACAGTTCAAACTCACCAGCTGCTCCTGCAGGGAAAGACAGGCAGTGTCCTGACGTTGCAATTTATGTCCCCGGAAACCCAATGGATGGTCAGCTATGAGCTAGAACCAGCTCAACAGCACTATGTTTTGGGTTTTTATTCCAAGCAAAACAGATCTCATTTACGACCCTTTTGTCCCAGGGCAATCAGTTCTCTATGACACATCCCACAATAGTAGTGTAAGGGGTACAACCTAGCTCATGACTCAGCCTAGAGTAATAGAATCTTCTAGTACAGGTCTGCCTTAACTCGGCCACACTAGGCCATGGCCACAATCTTCAGGATAAGTCCAATGACTGAAAATGACAACTGTCCAACCAGCAACTACTCTGAGTCCAGTCTCCTCCTGAAAGAGGGAAAGGGGAAGAATCCAGGACAGGAAAGGACAGAGCACTGTTAGGACATTTTGGGGCTTTTATCCATACACTCTTATCTATGTATGGTCTACCAGGTGGACAATGCTCACATCATCACTTTACATTACATGAATACACGACAGCATTTAAATCAAAGTTAGGCTTGGCCAATGTGGAATGATTTGAAGGGGTATAAAAAAGACTCCTATAGCCCATACACTCTCCCCAACCAGCCTGCCATGGTTGAAATTCCACCATTTGCTATCTGTTTCTAGAGATTAAATCTCCACAGCTTGATAACCTGAATAGATGCTTTGAAAGGTATTACGCATGCCTTCTTATCAGTCAAGAACACTCGAGTATAAATTATTCTACCAGGCTCCTTTCTAACTTGCTGTCTGATAAGAGGCTCTACAGAAATGGATATAGGATGAGAAAGCTTAGATTCTAGAGGGGGGCTGGGGAAAGACAGAGAGATAACAATGTGAACCTCAAAGAAGGCAGTTGAGGAGAAGGCTAGCGTGTGGAAAAGAAGCAAGACTCAGCCCCTAGAATTTACCGAATTTAGCCACGTTACTGTTGCAACATGACTTGGTGTGTAATTAGAGAGGACTGAACAGAATCCTAAGGTGTTTGAAAAGAGGCATGGTGCTTCAGAGTCCTCTGGAAGGGTCATTTCATGACAGTGTCCCTTTATTGTGATATCCCTTCCCCCAGGTTTGGTCTAGGCACAAAATCATAGACACATCTCTGCAAAAGAAAGTTTATCCTTTTTAGACTGAAATCTGGCCTTGGCACCCCAGGGCTTCCTTCTAACATCCTTAATGAGAGGCCACTCACTGTGGCAGGAGGGACACCTCTAGGGACCACAGGACCCACTTAGATCCAGAACACGTGCAAAGAAGAGCTGGTCCATCAGGGAAGAGCTACAGACTGGCCCACGTGGGGACACCTTACCTCTCGGTGTCGCAGCTGCAAATTCTGGCCTTCATAGTATAGGTTGTAGGTCTTCAGGTGCAGGAGGAGTTCATTCCTTACGGGGGAAGGAGAAACAGTTAACATTCTCTGCTGAAGCCGCTTATACGGCAATTGTGGCCTCTTTTTCTTTCTCCCAACCTGATTTTTCATCACCTCACTTAGAATGCTCGTGTGGCATCATGTGTGTACATGTGTGTACACACATGCAGAGCTCTGCCTCTGCCACTACCACCCATGTCAATCACTCTTTCTCAGGACCAGTGAGCTTAACAAGCCATTCTAGAAAAACCAGGCCAGGCCTGTCTGCTGACAAAGGCTAGCAACCCTCGCACACCACATGCCCGAGTTAAACCAGTTGTTGTTATGTGCCGTTGAGTCGCTTGCAACTCACAGTGACCCTATGTACAACAGCCCTAAACTCTGCTCTATGCTGTGCCAATTGCACTGCCTCTGACACACTCATCCCGATTACCCCAGTCACTGAATCAATCCACCTCATAGAGGGTCT